TCGCAAGAACCTTTTTTTGTTAGAAATTTCAGGTCAAAATACTTTTCGACTAAGTTAAGAAGCTATATTTCTTAAAAATAGGTTTAATCACTCTAACGCAATGCACGCCTTTTTATAAGTGACAATAAGAGGGATCGATTAGGGGATAAACTCGGTTCTGAATACGCGAAAGCGACAGTTCCCGTTAAGTTAGTTCTTTTCACGAGTAGAAAACATTACCCCACAAGAAGTTCTATTTACACGCACTTGGAATACTACCCAGGTATGTGAATTACATCCAAGCCTATTGTTTTAATATTGAATTTCTTTTCGCGCTTTACTTTTATTTCGCACAACCCAACTCCTAATTGACTCACCTTAGATAAACACCGTAACAATAGTAATCGATATATTGACGTTTGGTCTCTGTGGGATCGATAATCTTTTGTATTACTCTGACGCTATTCGTGCACTTGCGAAACACAACATCATATGGCTCACTGGGTTTTGGAGGTGTGGTATTGGAATTTTGATATTATAGTACAAGACCTGCCCAGTGAGTTGCTAGAAGAATTCCAAGACCTTAAAATCCTGTTGTACGACTTTGCGCCTTGTAGGGGTGTTTTAGATAGTTTTTTGTACAAAGCTGGCAGCTTTTGCTCCTTCATTGTAAATTCATGTTACTAATCGTTGGTGGGTAATGCAGCGATACATGAGTTGGATATTACTCCCAAGGCTGTTCTGGAAGTTCTATGGAAAACTAAGGCCCCTCTTAAAGTTAGGTTATTTGGTTGGAGGGTTGCTTGGGATAGACTTCCAACTAGATCGAATCTTGCGAACAAGGGAATAATATTTGACCCTCACGATATTGTTTGTGTGTTTTCGTTTAATGCCGTTGAAGACATAAATCACATTCTTTGTACTTGTCTGTGCATTGTTGAAATTTGGCGTTCGATTGCGAATTAGGTAGGAATCCCATGGATGGAAGAGTCAAGTGTATGTGAGCACTTCTTAGAATGGTTTATCAAGGTGGTGAAGAAAACTTCTAAAGCGTATGCTTGTATTATTTGGTTGGTGACGTCTTGGGCAATTTAGTGAACGCAGAACCAAATCATATTCAATAATATGATCGGTAAAAACGAGCACATCCCGCTTCAAGTTATCCACACATCTTAGTATTAGCTGCGTTATAGGACAAAAATTATTCTTTTTGTAACTTTTATAATTTGATATATCTGCATTAAATTTTTTAGTCTAGGGATTAACTAATACAAGGTGTTTTCTAGTTTTTATGTTGGTGCAAAGGATGTTGGACTCAAATTTATGTAGATGGATTGGTCTACTCTAGTATGCTTTTTTATATGAAAGTGTTGTTTATAAAAACAACATTTTTCTCCTGCTATCAATTTTTAATATACATGCACTATAATATAATATTATGTTCGTTATAGTACTAAATGTTGATTATAGTATAATATTCCAATGTTTTATAGCAGCAATAACTGTGTATTACATTGGTTATAATAGTATTATAGCACTATCAATATGTTTTAATACAATTTACATTGGTTATAGTATTATAATCCAATTGACAAACCAATGAAGGTATATTATATTGGTTATAACGAAACTTTAAAAATAATATAAATAAAAATGAAGATATATTTAGAAGAAGATTTAGTACGTAGTCGCTAATATATCGATTATTTTAATAGTTGATGTAAGAATAGAAAATTTAAATTTGTATAGTTTTGAATGAGATTTGAATAACTATTTGCAAAAATAGCTTCAATTAGATTCATAAAATTTTAGTTATTAACTCGTAATAGAATAAATATCTCAACATATTCATCATTGAGTTTGGAGATTTTTTCATTTACGACTTTGTAAAATCCATTCAGAATAATCAAATTTCTTTGGAAGAAAATTTGTCATTTGAAAGAAACTGCATTGATAATCAAATTCATGTTAAAGGTGGTTGGAAAAAGTTAAACCATCAATACACTATAGACAATCATTTTTTTTTGGTAATGCATAATTATTTAAATAAAAAGCTGAATTTTTTGTTGTTGTTTATGATGATCACAGTATGCAAATTATTTGGCATCATCCTGATATCATAAAAAAGAATTAAATATATATTTGTAATCTCTAATAATTTTTAGTTCGTTAAGTTCCACATATAAACATGTATTCAGATTATAAAGTTGTCATTACAAATTGAATTACATCGCATATATAATCTTTGTGTCAGATGCATTTTTGTCCCAAAATCAATTATTAAATATAGTTATCTAATGACGCAGAAAAACAGTTTAGAAATTTTGTTCACCTTTTCACATGTATATTCTTTTAATTTTCAAAGCTAAATGTCCATCATGTTGACTATCATTTAATAATTTTCTACCTGCTTATTACGCATTATAAGAAAAAGTTGTTTTTGTATATATAATATCATAATGAAAATTACCTTTTTTTTTTCTTCTTGAAAAGTTATAAAAAAATCATAATATATGAACTCTTGATTGAGATGAGCTTCCATGCAAGTCAATTTGAATATATGGTGTAATCGTAATTAATTTGTTAAATCTATAATCTTATTTAATCATTATAAGAAATACAAGAAATATGAAGTTCAGTGACGGCAAAAAAAAACATAGGTAAATGTCTATTTATTATAGGTAGAGTTTAAAATATTTATATCTATGATTTTTTTTTTTAACATATAATTTGCTGTACTTACGGATATTTTCTGTCACTATAGATTATAGTTACGGAAGTACACACGCCAAAGAAATACACGTTTTCATGCGTAGCTAGCGCATCGCTCCGGATCTAGCCAATCCTAAAACGAGCATGGTGAAACTTAAAGAAATCTAACTTGATCCAAACTATAGCCTCAAGAGCAGAAACATATGGATCTTCTATCTTTGGTTGGGTAGGGTCCTCTAGCCGGCTTTATACCCTTCATCTGTAAATATAATTTGAAACACCACCACGACTAACCAAGCTATACTTTATCCATGTAGACATGATTAAGATATAGATGCATATGGTTTGTTAGATATAAAATTTTACGGGTACAACTGAGAATGCTTCCTATAAAAAAACACATTGAAAGCACAACTTTAGGATACTACCTCAGTGTCTCGTCAAGACAACACACACATCTAAATATAAAAATACGAAATTTGAAGTATACACCTCAGCGGATATATCAACGACCAATGTCGGTCACTTGAAGACAAAATATCCTACATCATCTGCGTGTAGGCATTTAAGAAGACTGCAATGCTACAAAGTAAGCTACGCATTAAGAAGAATAAATACACTTTAAACAAAGAAAATGGAGATCTCCATTAACAACCAAGTCACAATATAAAAAAAAGGAGAGATGGGAGCACATGATTCCTACTCGAGGATAGAAATAATCCGAGCATGTGAATCCCATAGACGAAAATAGATACTCGTAAAGAGGGATGATGCAATTATCATACTTGTTGCAAATTCTATCCTCATCATTAATAATGGTAAGCTCTCAAAGTGAAAGTTCGCCAATATTAGAGAAGACCCTGTCTAAGTTCCCCTCTTTGGAAAAATTAAGACGGTTGAAGAAAATAGAGAGCCTTCCCACGAAGAGGATGAGTTTACTGTATTCTTTTTCACGGTTTTTGAGGTCTCTAAGCCATGGCACGACAACTAACTCAAGAAAAAAGAAAAGACACTTTAGAGGAGGAGGAAATATAACATTTCATATGTGTGTGCAAGGGAATCGGCTGATAGGACACCTTTTGTTTAATGGCTTAAACGCGTTAAAAGTGATAATTTTGTAGATATACCTCTCATTCCGTAACATCCTATTCTCATACTTCGGATAATGAACAATTCTTAAATTTAAAAATGTTATTAAAAAAATATATTGCGGATTTCAAAATCTAATGAATATTTTTGTTTTAAAAGAATTTCTGAAAAACACAAAGAATGGCAAAAGATTTTTACTATGTATTTCCCCACCTTTCCGTTTAGTTGAAACATCAATAGACAATAAATTCACAACTCTATATTCTTCTATCGTTTTTACTTCATTTTCCACTTGGGTACTATTCATTTCCACAAGAATCTAGCTTAACAAATCAGGCAATGGCCACATAACCTTTTGGTCCCATTTTCGTTCCCTTGACCAAACACAATGGTATTTCGGTCAATGTCGTTTTCTCTTGTTATATGTTTTTGTCATACTCAAACTTTTAAATAAAGATGTAAAAGAAAGAGAAAAAAAATCTAGATGCCACAATTTTAATCACAATCAAGCTTTAAATAAAGATATGAAAGAAAGAAAAGAAAATCTAGAGGCCACAATTTTGATCACAATCAAGCTTTTAATAAAGATGTGAAAGAAAGAAAAAAAGTCTAGAGGACACAATTTTGATCACAATCGAGATTACAAGTTAGATAATCAATTCGTAATTCAACATGAGAACATGAGAGAACCTTATATATCAACTAAATAATCTCTATCTCAGTAACAAATGAATTGATTAAAATTTTTGAAGGGAGAGAATCTTATTTCATTATCATATTATATTCCTAAATGATTTTAAATCTCACTTAAAAATTTAACAAACACAACCCCACTTAAAATTTAAAAACATTTATAGATAATAAACTTATAAAAGGAGGTTATTGTATGATCAAAGATGTCATGGAAACTCAAAATAAAAAATTCTATGATCAACAAATTTGGCTACTCAATTATAACTTCTTTCATAAAATCATAGTCCAATTTCTAGTGAAGGGAAGTATATGATCAATGTAACACATATGTATCATATAAACATTGGAAAACTTATTGATGACAAAAATAGTTAACAACACAACTAACTTCTATATGCATGCAATATATATACGATTCAAGAGCGCTTCTAAGAGATAATTTCGATGTTTTCTGATTTAATAAGAGATTCTGACTTCAATGTGTTTTGTCGTTTATTGTAGCCTCATGTCGGAACAATTAGCCTCTATTATCTAGTACTTCTTCCCGAAGACGGCGAACCACTCCAAGCTCCATACATGTTTTGTTCTATCATCATCATTGAAGATGAAAAGCCATAACCATAAACACCACCCACACCCTGGCCAAGCCTCCCTTGATCTCTCTGAAAACCTCTTCCAATCATAGCACTCTTCTCCCCTTCCATCTCCCTATACTTACGCAAATAAATCTTCAATGGCTCAACATAATCCTCAAACCCTAGAGTATTCATAGCCCAAAGAAGATCCTCACCGTTGATTGTTTTCCTCTTCTCTCTCTGACACTTATCAGAAGCTTCACTTGTTATGAAACTTATGAACTCAGATACACACTCTTGTAGTGTTTCTTTCGCTTCTTTAGAGATCTTTGCATTTGATGGTAAAGCTTTTTTCATGATCCTGCTCACGTTTGCTATTGGAAGAAACCTGTCTTGCTCTCTGCAACCTGTTTGACCTCCTCCTGACTCGTTGTCTGATTCTGCCATAGCTCAAAATCTAAGAAATGGTACCAACCAAACAAGGTTTTATAGTATATTTTTCACATTTATATACTCCTATGCTATGATGTTAACATAATAAAGTATTGGTGGTAAAAATGCTTAGCATTATGTAACAACAAAAAAAGTGAGTGTTTATCGTTAATAAAAAGTATGTGTATTTATGGGTTGGATTTGAGAGAAGATTAATTAAGAAGGTTTGAGTATTTTTCTGATAAAATGAGATGATTAGTTAAATTGCAAAACAACCTAATGGATTTTATTTATTAAAAAAAGCTAAAAGAGATGTATTGAAAAAACCTTTCAAGCATAAAGAGGCTCTAAACATGAGCATTACAAGATATTAAAATATTAAAAAAAAAAAAACTCCAATCAATATTAGGAATAATCAACTAAAAGTTCATGTTAACAAAATAATTGGGACTCGAAAAATTGGTTTGATGTCTTTTTATAAAAGTGTAATTGATTCAGTTTAGACAAATTTTTATTTAAAAAATATTTAAATCGATGATACTTTTATAAGTCTGAATTGATTTGATTTTTAATATTTTTTAAAAATAGAATTAAACTAAACTAATTAATTTGGTTCGGTTTTTATTATGTTGGATTGATCAATTTATAGCATTTTTTATAAACATTATAATTATTTATGTATTTTCTGCTATGAAGCACAAAAATTATCCTTTGACAATGACTAACATAACTAAAATAAATTCAGTATCATATCAAGTACAAAATATTAAAACAATCAAGTTCGTTAGTTTCTCATGAAATAAAAAAATACAAGCTGTAATGATGAATTTTATGTTGCTTATTGAAGAGAATTAGTGTCAATCGACCATAGTGATCATCATTAGTAAATTGGAATAAGATTCAAGGGCAAAAGTGACTTTTCAAAGATATTTTAATAATTTTGTAATATATTAAATCTCAATAATTATTATGTGGTTAAATATATTTATTTAATTATACTAGTTATTTTATCAAATAAATTGATTTAAATGATTATATGATCAAATAATATTAAAAGACTATTTAGATTTTATTTAAAAATTAATTAATTAATTAATTAAATAAACAATTAGATATGAACTCAAATATGAGTAAATGTCATAATAACTAATTTGTTATCGCTTAAGAGAATTCGAGACATAAAAAGTACCGGTTGAGAAAGAATCACAAAAGTCATTGACTTCTGAGTTAAAGATTCTATCAAAGAGATTTTTTTCAATAGATCCATATATTTTTGAAATCAATTAATCGATTTAGATATTTTTAAAATCAATTAATCGATCCTTTAATTTTATACATGCTTGATTTCCGCGTCTAAAATTATATATTATAATTTTTTGTGCATGTATTCGTATGTTTCGATCAATAGTTAATGATTTAATTCAAACAAATATCAGAGACAAAATTAAAATTATTGAAATTAAAACTGCTTATGCTTTTGTTTTTTTTATAAAGAAATAATGACATGATTTAATTTATATTTATATATAGAAAAATGCTATTCCTACACCATTTCCTACACCCAATACTTACACCGTATGCACTATTCACCGTATTTATACGGTGAACAGTGTTTTTTTTATTAAAATAATATATTTTTTTAAAATATTAATTTTTTTTTTTAAAAAGTTTTATTTTTAAAATTTATTTTATAACACAAATATAAGATTGCGCATTAACCAACTTCACAGTTGCATTAACCACAAAAATCTACATTATTAACCAATTATTTTACCTATAATTTATTAACCACTTTCACTACTTCATTAACCAATAAAATACACACTATTAACCATGTTCTGGGGAATTTGTTCAAGTATTTGTGAACAGTAATTGAGGTGTAGGGTGTAAAGATGGGTGTCAACATAGCAATCCTGTTATATATATTATACATTTCCAACAACAACAATGCATGTAATTACGATTGTCTTTACTGGACATAGTACTGGAATAAATGGTCTCCCTTTTGAGGGAAGAGTTATTTAATTATTAAGAGAATGTTTCGAATTTTTTTTTCATATATTTGCGATACGCCGTTTTCGATCCGTATGAAAGTGTATGACCTTTGGTACAATTTTTGTTCTACAGTAACTATATATTTCAATCCGTATGTTACTATCGCTGGATCCAGTGCCATTTTTTTATGTTTTTTTTTTAATTATACAGTTTTTTATATATTATTTAAGCACGATTAAATATGTTTATTTTATTAAGTATTTTTTTTCCGAGTATAACCGATTTATTATATCGATATATATATATATAGTATAAATATGAATTATTCAGGAATTAGTAAAAATATAATTTTGACATCACATTTGCAAGTAATGTTTATGTGAATTTTAAAGACTTTTCCATTTAGTTTATTAAATTAAAAATGTCTAGTGACTTTGATTGGATTAGTTGAAACAACAAATTGCAAAAGTAACCTATGATATTTAAATTTGATTCAATTAGAATTACAAAAGATATAGTGTGTAATTTTTTATGAGAACTGTTATGGTCGGTCAAAAGGAAGACACATTTTGACCGAAAATTTGCATACCTGTGATGGTAAGTATGTAGTAATTATTAAGTTTATTCATGTGGCTAATGATTGATGTCAAAGACATCCATTATCTGACAGAACTTATTACTAATGTTTGATCATTAGGTGAGAGTACTGCTTACATTTAACTCTTGCAATCAAAGATTGAGAACTAATGGTATGTTTTGGTATCTTGTCAAGGTCTTAATTAATTTGCATATAAAGAATATTGTGCACGTCTATGTGTTTATTTGAGATGTCTACTAATGTCATTGTATGTTTGTTGTTCTTTTTTATGGATCCAGTTGCTGCTGCTACCGCTCCAAATTTTGTTTCTCAGATTAACTCTATCCCTATGCTAAGTTGGATGAACTTTAAGTCTTGGAAAGAATCTGTGGAGATCGTGCTTGGATGCATGGATTTAGACTTATCATTGAGGGAGGAACGTCCCACCGCCATTGCTGAGTACCCAAATGAAACTAAAATAGAAAAATGAGACCAATCTAACCGAATGTACCTGATGATGATCAAAAGATCCATACCTGAAATGATTAGGGACTCGATTGCTGAGAGTGTAAGTGCCAAGAAGTTCCTCGAAATCGTGGAGCAATTCATTGCTAAAAATGATAAGGCTGAGACAAGTAGTACCTTGTCCAAACTCATTTCAATAGTTTATAAAGGCAAAGGGAACATAAGGGAGTACATCATGGAGATGTCTAATCTCGTATCAAAACTCAAGGCATTGAAGTTAGAACTTCCTGAGGATTTGATTATGCACTTGGTTTTGATCTCTCTTCCTACACACTTTAGGCAATTCAAAGTGAGTTACAATACTCAGAAGGACAAATGGTCTCTCAATGAGTTCATATCTCATTGTGTGTAAGAGGAAGAATGGCTAAAGAGAGAGAGAAGACTAAAAGTGCTCATTTGGCTACCAGTTCTCAGAATAAAAGGAAGAAACCTGCAGGTTTTTTCTCAAAATAAGAAGGCAAAGGAACAACCTAAGGAGACCACTTGTTTCTTTTGCAAAAAGGTTGGATACATGAAGAAAGAGTGTTCCAAGTATGCCGCATGGCGTGAAAAAAGGGTAATTTTCTTACTTTTGTTTGTTTTGAAATTAATTTAGTTTTCGTATCTAAGGATACTTGGTGGGTAGATTCTGGTGCTACTACTCACATTAGTATGTCCATGCTGGGTTGCCTGTGGATCTGTCTGTCAAGTGATGCTGAAAGATTCATCTATGTGGGCGATGACAATAAAGTTGCAGTAGAGGCTATAGGGAATTTTAGATTATTATTAAAGAACGGTTTTCATTTGGATTTGATTGAGACTTTTGTTGCACCGTCTATTAGACGGAATTTAATTTATGAAATTCTGGTATGCAGATCTCAGATGTCTCAGGAGATGTCGACACACTTGATCTCTGCTTAACTGAACAAGGACAGAACAAGAACATTTTGATTTCTCTAAGTCATAACAGTGTCATGACAGATGTTTAAATATTTGTTAAGTTAAATTTTAGAGCAAGAGAATAAACTGCAATATACATAGCAGAATGATAAATAACACCACGATATGATGACCCAGTTTGGTGTACAACAACACCTACATCTGGAGGCTACCAAGTCAGGAATGAATTCACTATTAGCAGTATTAATTCAGAGCTAAACAACCTCTGGTTTACAACTCCTCACTTAATCCCTACCCAGTACAACTTCTACCTAGAAACCCATCTAGATAAAAAAAAACCATCTCAAATCCTAAATCAAATCCGTGATATCTAACAGTCACAACCTCCAGTGACTATATCAAATTGTTCAATTGAAAAATACCCATTTCAACACAATATTCAGTCAACACTATTGACTAACACTAATACTTGAATTTGCTTAATAGCTTCATTCAAGAACAATATACAATCCAGTATCTACATGTTTTTGAATATGTAAAGCCATGTCTACCATAATGTATCAAACCTGATACAAAGGGTGACTTATAATACAAGAAAGTCGCATGACTCTCAAAACCCTAATCCCTTATTTTTACTTTACAAAAGTCTTAAACAGGAATTAGTTATTTGCTCTAGGTCTTGGTCTTCCTTTTATAATCTTCATCAGTTCATTGGCTTCAAAACCTCTGTCGAATCATTCCTTGATCTATGTTCTGATTGCAACTCAAATCTTGGAACCGATCTGGAACAAACCTGGTGTATCAGACCAGGATGTCGATTCCCCAAGATATGACATCTTGTCTGACATGTTGTTCTTTACATATTTCTTCATGTTAGACCATCTTGCTCAACATCATGTTTTACCAAAATTTGCTCAAATCTTAGAGCCTTCAATCTCTCTCTTATGATAGTTTTTGGCTAAAAACATCTTTTGCACAATAAATCTAGGAAATAAAAGAGTAGAAGGAGTAGAAAGTCCTGAAGTCATTTCAGCCACCC